GCCAGTGACATGAGAGCCATTCTGAAATGTGTTTTTGAGCTGATCGTCTCTAGAAACGATTCTGAAAGTGAGGGTAAGCACGGTAAGAATCATCTTTTTTGCTAAAGTATCGGGATGGAATATGAAAGGGCTGACAAAGGACGTGGTCGGGTCGTTCAGAGTTCATTGGTCTGCTTTCCTTGTTTCCTGCCATAAACTGTCCTGGCTAACACATCAAAGCACTGCTGTTCTCTTAGGAGATTATCCCACTGGGATTGTGCCCTGGAGGACAATAGCCTTCAGCCCACATAGCACTTATTATCACTGGTGACTTGAAGATGAAGCTGCCATTTCCCATCATCCATCCAGTTCCTACACCTCACTGCACTTAGTCTTTGTCCGACTCTTGGCATTTAACCATAATTAAGAGTTAATAGTCATTAAGTGGAAATGGTTAAAAAGCCTTTTTAAATGAGGAATGCTTGTTTTGAATTGGTTGTCATTTTTCCTTTTCTTCAGGTATCAGAAGGAGCTATAGACCCCTAAAGACTTTTGTCTCGTAATTCAATAGTTAATATTTGATATTATTGGGAGCCAATCATGGGCATGGAAACAGGAGATGATGGTCAGATTTCAACTCCTTTTTTCCTCCTATCTTAGGAGTAAAGAAAGACAAGAGGCCAGAGGAGGAAGACTGTAACTCTACACAGGAAGAATGTGAACTGTGTGAGGACTTCAACGGTGGGGAATCAAGGGGGGACAGTGCTGGAGGTAGGGCGCTTGACGTGCTGGTTCCTGAAAGTGTTTGCTCACTAGCTAACAGACTATTAGTTCATTTTTCCTTATATCTATACACAGGATTTTGATGGGAAGTCAACTATTCATCTCGGTTTTACAGAGTCCTGTGTGTTGCAAGAAATTACTTCCTCAAACAGTCCACCGAATTTGATTTGGGGAATGTCAAGTGGAATATTTCATGAAATGCTTTTATATCAGTCTTGTTAATTTACCTTTCTTACTTTGGGTATTTCCACGCAGTTTTGTTTTTTTTTTCCTGAACTTGGTATGATGTAATCTTTCAACTGGAGCTTTAACCAGCGGAGGCGAAAGCTTGTGTATTGGATGAGTTTGGAGACCCTTACGTAGATTATTGGCTGACTCCAGTGCTGTTTTGGGGGGGGGTTTGGTTCACTTGGGGTGGGGAAGTGCTGACCAGCTCTAAGGATATTGTCGGGCGGTGGAAGGAATTCTTTGAGAAACCCACTGCATATGCCCCACCATGAAGCAGCGCTGAAAACTTCCGGTGGATCAGAATCCGAAGCCTCTCTGGCGGAAGGACTGCAGGGGTGATTGAAATCAGTGCGGAGATTCAAAGCACTGCATGTTGTTGGGGTGACATGCCCGTTCAGTGCTGCACGAGAGGTGGGTAAAGTATCTCTGCACTAGCGCAGTGAAGTGGTGGCCCCTGTTTTTAAGGCAGGGGACCAGGGGTGTGTTCCAGCTATATTAGGACCTGGCTTCTCGGCCTCCTTGGGGGAAGCTTATGCCCTGATACTGGAGAGGAATCAGGAGGAACAGGAACAGCAAGCCAGCTGTACTGTCTCACACAGTTATGTGAGACTGGGAATGTGCCAATGCAGCGTACATGTAGCGTGCGGCATTGCAGAAGGCGTATGACCACAAGCCTCCGCATACACTACGGGCCAATGCGGCTTCTACTTAATCCCTGTAATGAAGAGTTGTGTCTGCATAATTAGCACAAGCTCAAAGTCATCCAGAGCAGGTGTTGGCCTCTGGCAAGGGTGCATCTTGTGCCCACACCTGTTTGATTTTTTTTTTTTCTTCAAGGCGCACCTGTGACTGGAAATGACATTCCCTGCAATTTGCAGATGATTATGTGCTTCTGACCTCATTCTGCGTGTGTGTGCGTGTGCGTGCGTGTGTGTGTGTGTGCGCGTTGAGTAGTCGGGATGAGAATCTGCACCTTCAAATCCAGGAGCACTGTGTGAGGGGGTGGGGGGTTCATACTACATAGCATCTAATACTAGCGGAATCTAGCATCCACTTGTGTAAATTTGCATTATGAATCCATTCTGAATTGGCCTTTCATTGGTACTTTTTATTTTATTTAAGTAGGAGGTTGGAAATTCTCGGGCTCTGACCTACTGTAAATGCATCAGTGCATCACGATGTGTGATAATACTACTACTACTACTACTACTACTAATGAATAATTTATAGAATTATACCTTTTTTTGCATTCAGATAATTCATGCATATTGGTGCAGACCACCAGTATCTCCATACACAATGGTAGACTAGAAGCCATACAATCAAGGTTTAAAATCAGATAGTGCTGATGCAGCCAGCTTTGTTGTAAGCAGGACCATGTACGCGTGGGTACACCTCCGGTAACTTACTGTTAGTTCTGGGTACAGCTCGGTTCTTGGTGGCAGTGGAAAAGCACCTTTTCTGAAGGAGTTCAAGTACTTTGGAAGGTTCACTGGCAGATTTGATTCTGCAGTTGTTGTTGTTTTGAGGCTACATACAAGCACTTCGCAATAAACTCGATTCTGATTCTGATCCGGTCCGTGGTGGTGAAGAGGGAATGAAGTCATTACAGCTGATGCCCTTCTCCTCCTCACCTGTGGTCACAAGATGTAGATAATGAGCGAAAGAACAGGCTTGTAATGACAAGCTGTCAAAAAAGGAGTTTCTCCACTGGATAGACAGGCGCACTCTCTGCATTAAGGCAAAGAGACCTGAAATTCAGTGGGACCTCAAGACTGCGTTTGGCATTTAAAGGTACACATAAAGCAAAACCATTGCATGGTTCCCTGTCAGCTATGTCTCTAAAGCCCAGTTAACTGAAATCCCCCATTTTCTTGTTATGTTACTTCCCACTAGTAGCAGGCTCGCTCTCTCTGAAATCTAGGGGGACCTTAAAATTGAGCCGTTGCTCCTTCAGTTTGAGAGGAGTCAGCTGAGGAGGTGCAAGCATCTTCTGAAGATGCCACCTGGTCTGCTCCTGGGCGTGTCTCACTGGGAGGAGGCCCCAGGGCAGACCCAGGACATGCTGGAGGGACTGTGTCTTGGGAACGTCTGTGGTTCCCCCAAAATGAGGTAGAGTCCATGGGCCTGGTAAGGGAGGTCAGGTCTGACCTACTTAACATGCAGCCATGGCTACCTTCAGCAGGAAAAGCAGCGTGAAGAAGATGATGGACTGAGACCATGGCACATGTCTAATTTGAACAATGTCACTTGGCAGGTCTCCCTGTCTGGGTTCCTGATAATGAGTGTACCCACTGCACTGCCTGTAAGGCGCCATTTACTTTCCTGCGTCGTCGACACCACTGTAGGTGCTGCGGCAAGGTATGTGACCTGTGAACCTGCTCACCGTAGAACCAGCCCTGGTAAAGCCAAGAAATCTTTTGCTTACTTTCTGATGCTCACTGTTGGTATTACTTGACCGGGTCAGGATTGTTCTGTATGTCTATCCAAAGTCACTTTGAGGTTAGTTTTCTTTAAAAAGATAATACAAATTATTTATTAGTAGCGTATTCTAACAGCATTACATCTCCTGAGGTGTGTGTGTGTGTGTGTGTGTGTGTGTGTGAGAAAGATCTGATTCTTTATGTGTTCATCTAGTGATGAGTGATATGCAACACAAATGTTTTCTGGAGAAATTTTCACCTTGATCATTAGTACGTAGCTCATTATTATTGGTTTTGTTTGGTTGTTTGGTGGATTTTCTTTTTTTTTTTTTTTATCATTTTGTCAAATTGGTATCTCTCTCCCCCTTTTTTTTTGGGACACAGATCTTCTGCGGCCGCTGCTCTTCCAAAGAGGCTCCCCTCCCCCAGTTCGGCCAGATTCAGCCCGTCAGAGTCTGTAATCACTGCTTCTACTTCCATGTCGTTGGTGAAACAACGCAGCTTTGACAGCGACTAATGGAAAATGTCTTGAAAGAAAAAGACCTTTCTAATATTTGGACGTCTATGCAGCTGGATGCGTGTAGCCAGACAATGAGAGCAATGTCTTTGGCTTCCGTGGGCTGCTCTTTGCTTATGGCTCTGTTCCTGGGGTATTTTTTTATTTTTATTTATTTATGCGTTGTATTATAGAACACATTTCATTCAAGTGGTTATTGGGGGAATTCTGAATTTGTATACATTTTGAAGAAATTACAAGCTATAAATAATTCAGTATTTGACTACATCAAATTATTAATTGCACTTTAAGGCATGTGGCATAGGAACCATGATTGTACTATCCAGACAATGATGGGGGGAAAAAAATAAAAGCAATCTCTTGGTACAGAATTCGTGTTTAAATGTGCATTCTACAAAGGTTCTGTAATGTTTTTTTTTTCCCTTCAGTTTTTTTTTTTGGTTGGTTTTGTAGTTCATTGTAATTTTGCTGTGAAAATATGATGATTAGTCGTTGGCTCTGATACAGATACTTTGCAATAATTCAATAAAAAATAAATGTTCAAATTAGGCCTACACTGTCGTGCTTAATTGGTTCACTCAGATGGAAATAATGTGAATAAACGTTCCTCCTCCAGCACTTACACCTCTGTTGATTTTTATTTTGTATTCCAATTTTATGTGTGCTTTTAAAGCCGAGGTAGCTACTGCTATCGATCGTTTAGCCTACCACTAAAACTATTTTTAATTTATCTACTGATCTGATATCACTAATACTTCACAGATTCTATCAACACTAGAATCGCAATTTTGCACAAAATACGTTGTCAAGCGTTTGTTATGCTACTTGCACTTCATTCATAAAATTATTCATTTCCTTCTGATAATTTTTTTATAAGAGACTAAGCTGGCTCAGTTGTTGAAATTTTAAAAACTGGGTAAGGTGTTTATCGTACAGTATTCTGCTAGCTACGCAGGCGAAGTCCTGTTAAATCCCCATTTTCGTTTCTGTTAAATTCGAAATGGGACAATTTCCCGCTCGTAGCCAAAATATTAGGAAGCTGTATTTCGCTGATGTATTCTGTACCCACAAGCTAGACAGCGGAGTGTTTGACAGAGTTTTTCACTTTCTTCCATTAATTTTCTGAAATGCATCTATATGTATAAATAACACGATCGTAGGTTTTTTGAATACTCAAGTAGTTGCATTTACAGCGCGATAGTCTAAAGGACAAGTACTAACACCCGTCCTACGTTACATTTCAGCACTAAGATAATTGTGTAAACATGTCTATTGATGAAATGAAAAATAATTCTACAAATAAACAAAATACTGCACATTGTAACAAAACAACATGGCGGGAATCGCTAGTTTTTTCTGTTAAGTTTTGGCATAGGCGTGTACGCAAGAAAAGTAAAGAGAAAGTGGGCGGTGTAGACTGCAGAGGTCCCGCGAGCCCAGGCGCAGACCGAGCTGCTGCTGTAGCTGAAGTCTGCCCCAGGTATCGCTGTGCTCCGGCCTCGTTTTGTTTTTATTCATGCAATGGAGATCAACAAAGGCAACATCCACGTTCTTCTGCAAGCCGCAGAGTATCTGGAAAGGAGAGAGCGAGGTACCGTGAAATCGCCACCGCTTTATAAATATCTCCAGCTGTAACCTGCTACGAAATATCAGCTCCGCGTAAACAAATATCGATACCATGTAACCAGCTGGCGACGCCTGCGAAGGATCGCCTTCTCTCGTTTGTTAAACGGTAAATAGGCAACGGGAATAGCCGTTTTTGTTAAATATCTGCATAGATTTGTGCAATCTGGAGGCAGATGTGTAATTTTAGCTGCTTGTTGGGGAGCATCAGCATGTCTGACTTGCTGACCTACATTGGAGCTGCGGACACGGATGGCGCCAATCCGTCACTGATTTGAAAATGTCCTGCGATCAGACGCCGGGGGAATGAATGGGAAGCTTTAACAACAGTGCGGATTTTCCTATCTCACACTTTTCGGATGGTGTTACGGCGGGGGGGGGGGTTGAAAATCCATAAACTGTCTAGTTAGCCAGGTCTAGTTAATCGTCAACTTTTTAAATCTTGATCAAAAATGAGTGGCTGGCGCCAAAAATCCGCTGGAGCTGTCATTGTTAGGCTGCCTTGGCTGAATTCAGTACGACTGGTCAGCTGTATGAAAGGATTGCAGGATTAAAGTGAAGTGGAAATGCTCATTTTGTATCATTTTTGTACTATTTGTACATAAGTACGGTATTATGAGCTATCTATTTCTTAACGCGTATGAGAGGTTATTTAAAGTATATTTAAATGATTATTTCGCTTATTTACTGTACGTAGACTATCCCGTCCTTCTATAATTTCTTTGACCTGTATGTTAGTTGCTTCTCTGTCTTTGGTTTTATTTTGATGTCATATGTGAAGCACTTTCAGCTGCATTCCTTGTATAAAAAGTGAAAGTAACGAAATTATTATTACAAAATATTTATTAAGAGTAAAATTGATGAAGTAGATAACCAGTTCTATAGTCAAATTAGTAGGCCTATATACATTTTCTGCGTTTCATGCAGCTGATAATTACTTGCGGGCAGCCGTTAATGCAGCCTGTGTATGCGGGCTGCAGTCCGTTTTACTGGTGTGCAGCGCTACAGTTTTGAAATCGAGGTTCTTAAAATCGATGTTTGCTACAGATCATACACGTTTACTGCAGTGTTTTTCATTTCGCCCCGCAGAAGCGGAACATGGTTACGCGTCGGCGTCACCCTTTGACATTAAAGGAGTTTCTTGTAAGAGAAACAAGCACAAAAACAAGACCTCTGATAGCACAAGGTATGCTGTCTTTTACCTGATCTTGATTAGGTCTAATTATAAGTTGTTCTGTTACACAGATAGTTCTAACAGATAGTAATAAAACAAATACTACCCCTCTTTCTTAAACATGGTTTGCACTTAGATTGCTGCGTTTTGACATCTTTGTAGCTATAAAAAAATAACTCCCACTTAAATGTGTATGTTAATTTATTTAGTTAGGTTTGTATATTTTGTCTTCACAGGTCTGTGCATAATGAACTGGAGAAACACAGGTAATCATATCTCTTGTTTTGGAAGTTGGATGTTGTGTGAATGGCAGGCATTTCCTCTCTAAGGTTGAGTTGTCAAAGTTTTCCATTGATATGAATAGCAGTCGTGTTAATGGTCTCTAAGAAGTGGAGTTTCAAACATGCTTTAATCTAGACGGGCATGCAGAGTGTATCTTATCAGTGCCATTTATGACATGTATGTCTGCAAGGTTGCCAGCGGGTCAGAAATAGCAGTTTGTTGTGGGTCGTTTGAAACTGAGACTTCGCCGCGTGGGTCTGCCCTGCAGGCGTGCGCAGCTACGGCAGTGCCTGGAGCAGCTGAAGCAGCAGGTTCCCCTCTCGTCGGACTCGGCGAGGCACACCACGCTCAACCTGCTCCGGCGGGCCCGGCTGCACATTAAGGTACGTGCGCGACTGCGCGCAGACACCCAGACCCCCTCACGCACTGAGATCGTTTGCCTCATGTTCTAACAGGACTCAAATATCTCATATTGATGTTGTGCATTCATTCTCATGCCCCCCTCCCCATTTTAGAAGCTGCAGGAGCAGGAGGAGCGCGCTCGGGTAAGGAAGGAGCAGTTACGTCGGGAGCAGAGGGGGCTGCGGGTGCGTCTGGAGCAGCTGCTGGGGGGGGGCACGGAGAGGGTGCGCAACGACAGCATGGGCTCGGCAATGTCCTCCGAAAGGTCCGACTCTGACCGAGGTGAGCCGGCCAGATCCTGCTCACCACTGACCTGATGCTCCTTTTTTTGGCCCTACCAGGAATATCGTGCACCTAGTCTTGAATTTCAGGAGGCCGTCGTAAAGCATCTGAACTTTTTTGTCAGGGGGGCATATGTGCTAATCACACATTTAGTCAATTAAGAAAGAGGGGAATGAGCGATAACGGAAATGTTTTTACGAAAAGCAAAATAGTAACAATTGTAATATATTTAATAGTAAATTAAAAATCCAACTTTCACACAGCAGGACATAATGTTAACGAGCAAAAAATATGTTCGATAGTGCCAGCAGTATGTTATTAATTAATTAATTTGAATGCAAAGAAAGAGTCCCCCATTATGAAGTCATGATCGTTTTGTGTCATGTGCTCTGCTTATGGTGAGTACTGATGGGACCTGCATCTCCTTGCAGAGGACGTGGAGGTGGACGTGGAGAGCGTGGTGTTTGTGTGTCTGGAATCTGATGGCTTGGGGGCTACCCAAACCGAAGGGGATCACAGCTACTCCAGCCCTGGCTGTTCCTGGCTATGACAGCAGCCCGAGGACCTCCAGTGCTTAGCTTGAAAACATTCCAAAAAAAAGAGAAAAAGAGAAATGAAAAGCAAAAAAAAAATCCAGGGAACATCACAACAGAGATGAAGAGAACATGAGGTCCAGGCAAACTTTTTACAGTTCACCACGAACTCTCAAGATTCACAGGAAACAGCAACATCTGGGATTGTTTTTGTTTTTGTTCATCTTCAGTTCTGTCTATTTTTTATTATTGAACTTAATAACTGGGCCAGTGCATTGAAGCAAGACACATAGACCAGAAAGGATCACTTTCTGAATTTTTCTGATTAGCCAGTGTTTTGTGAAGTCTGACACTCGTTTTTCAATTCTCTAACATGCACTTGAGTGAGATCAGGCTCTTAGCACTGTGAACTCTTTTCTGCAGAAATGGTATTGTTGCCCACAGTCTTTTTACATAAGCTTCAGTGAGTGGCAGTATACATGCATATTCTTTTCCTGCCTTCAGTATATTTTTTAAATGGTAGGATGTATTTTTGCACTAATACGAATTCCCGTTGACCTCTTTTAAAATTTTTTATATTTGTAAAAGCATTTATAGTTGTTAGTTACTGAGCCTGATGGTAACCATGCTGGTGTACAGAGGCTGTGGACTTATCGTTAAAGGGGCACCTCAAGAAGATTCTGTATTATTATTCAATGTTCCTGAGCCAAGGGCGTAGATTTGGGTATGGATGGTAGGGACGTGTCCTTAACAATATCGCGGGAGTATCGTATGTTTTTAGCAGGGTGGGGGATTTGGGGCTGATTTGGTCCCTACCAATGCTGACATCGAACCTACGCACTTGTCCTGAGCACTTAAATATTAAGGAACATGACTTGGACAAGCTTAGGACACCAGTCCTAAAAGCAGCTTGAGAAAGTAGCCCGTTCCGCTTTTTGTGATGAGACACTCGTTTCTGAAAACGTCTCGCGTCTATGTGACTAGGCCGAAGAAACCTACCTAGGAGTCATGGTGCAGCTGGAGATGTGGAGGCGTGACAAGGCCTGCGAAATTAAGAGTGCGTTAACGGTAGCAGAGACGGCAGGAATTGAGGTTGATGGACAGCAAGAGCACAGTGACAGTTAGCACTTAGAAGCACTGCCCAGTGTGTAGCACTGACCTCATCTTACATTAGTCCATATTGCATGGGCAAGAATCCAAAATTTGGGTTCAAAACATCAGATCAGTTTGGTCATATCAGTCAACTATACTAATGTTGAAGTTTCTGTACTGAATAATAGCTCATTTGGACTGGATCAGTTTACTGAACAGGTTCATTTAGCAATTAAAATGCTAAATGTTTTTTTTTGGGGGGGGGGGGTGGTTTCTGTAAAGTATAACTCACTTTACTCTATTTTCACTCTCAGCTTCGAACACGGGCGGATTCCACGAGTCAACAAACACCCTGAGAAACCTAAATTCTGGCACTTGACGAGTCACACTGAGAGTATAAATCCCTCTGAGGTCTGGTATGTTAAACTTCACAGAATTGCCTAATGCTGGGGAGGGCAGTAGTCTGTGCCTTTGCAGAAATAATGCTACACACCACTTCCTCAAGAATCCGTTATCTTGTGGTCTGGTAGAGCCTATTTATGCTGGGTCACATCAAATACTCTTCTTTTAAGCTTAATTTCTGCAGCAGCTGTTACTTGCAATTCTGCCTGCATTGAATGATGATATCTGGAGAATAGCCTGGTTTAATATCTCTCCGTACTTAAACTTATAAGATATTTCATTGCACAGTCCTTTCACACAGCACTTCTGTCGACAAACTTGCCTAAGAATTCTTTTAGCTTTGCTGTTACTAAATGAAAACTGCCTCTGTTTTGTTTGGTTCCATTTCAAAAGATTGATCCAGTTATATGTTACAAAGGGGCAATTTTACATTTTCAATGCAGGGAAGAAGTTGAGTTTTGCACATTATGAATCAACCAGCAAAATCCAATTTTCATGTTCTTTAAACAAATAACAAATGGGTAAATGATTTTTTTTTTTTACCTTTTTGAGCATGTTTAAGTTCATGAAGAATGGGTACTTGAATGCAATGCAATGTTAGAACTTTTTCCTCATGTTAAAGTGAAAGTAAGCACTTTGGAAATGAAAACATACTCCTTAGTGAAATAGTTATTTATGTAATTTCCTAATCTTTAAATTGCCGTTACTTTAGTTCATTCAAAGCCAGTACTAGGGTAGAACTGAGCCCTTAGCTTTACAATTCTCCTACTACATTTCTCAATTTTTATACCTTAAATATATTGGCGCAACAGTAAACTGAATTCCATCCTTGTTGTGTTTACAGTCAAAATGGGTTTGGTCAGTAGCAAAGCCTACTGCTGTTGAGTATTACTTCCCAGGTGTTTTTCCTGGTCATATACTCATTTGGTGTCACATACAGAACAATTTCTTTCATATATCATGTCTTTGTTAACTTTGTCTGGTAAATACCAGAGGGACATCTGGAAGTTTTTCATTTAACAGTATTATTCTGATGTTTCTTAATCTGGGGGGGGATTTCTGAAGATCTGGCAGATTACTATTGCTAACGAGACAGATCATATTAAGCTTTCACTGAATAAATGGGTTGTAATGTCCAAAACCTTAATTGCAAGTCCATCCAGAATGCTACCATGTCACCACAAAAACATTATTTTTTTTTTGCATCATGTTCATTTGTACTCTACATTGTCCCCAGTAATCGGATGTAGCATTGTTTTTTACTAGTACGCATTTGTATAATAAATATAATTATTAATTTCTTCGTGTTTTTTTATTGCTGGTATATCATGTATATTAATTTATACTCGTCAGTTTGTGATCTTTCTGCAGTCTCGACCATTCAGCGCAAGAAAGCATGCAAACAAGCTGTTAGTGTAGGAGATTGTGGCGCGAGACACTTAAGCACCATAAAAAAAGCAGTGAAAACACCAGACCTGATCAATCGTTTATTGATGTTTTTCGCTTTAATGTTACTGCATACTTTATATTTGGTACTTTGAAAGCTTCACTCCTTATAAACTGGTATTTAACGAGATGAAAATTTCATGGAATCCTCTGTCACATTTGAACCATCTCTAAAGAAATTTACACACCCTATTTGTTATTGTTGAGCTAATTGTTTTATCACAACCTTTATATGCTGATATCTCTTCCCTTTGCTTGGTTCAGTACATGTGAAATATATCCCACAGACCATGACTGCTAATAACATGAGCCAAGCTTAATTTAACTTCAATTTGAAGCAATGAAGGAATTGTATGGTAACAAAGGTTGTGAAATACTTGCATACATCAAGCCTAGTTCACTGATTAGATCTGTGCAGAGGTTTACTTCAAGTAATACTCAGGAACTCAAGCGAAGGAATAAAACTTGGAGACAAGAAAACGTTTTGGTAAAATCGGGCAAATAAACGAATCACAATTCTTGTCCTAACAGTTCAAGAAGGGAAGACGTATTATTCTAAGCAGGAGTTCCAAGTCCCTATCCTGTATGAGAACAGGAGGGTTTAAACCACATGAGGAATGGATGGGGACAGGGCGGTGCTGGGAGGGCCCTGATGTCACAGTCACCCTGACTGGGAGCAGCGCTGGCGTCCCGCCTTGCATGTCACACGTACTGCTTCTTCTGAGCCTTTGATGCCAGGTCTTTCGCTTTCTCCGTGGCAGCCAGTGCAGTCTCTCTGGCCTTTTCTTTAGCCTCTTTGGCCGTCTCCGCCAGGGTGCGAGTGGGTGTCTCACCTGCAAACATCAAGGGCTTTTCAATCTCTGCTTCGGATCCTATCGCTCTGAATGCAACGTTTTGCAATTTTGAAAAGCTCACATGCCTGGGAAGCCACTGATAACACAGTATGGCTTAAAAAAAAAAAAAAAAAAAAAAAAAAAACAGTGGAGCAATACTAAGAAGTTGTACTTATAACCAAACTCTTTCTTTACCTTGCATTTTTGCCAAGACATATTCAAATCCTTTCACGGTCTTTGTAACGCTGCTTTTAAACCTTGCAAGGCCAAACTCCTATAAAAACAAAGAACAAGAAAAGGAAAATAGTAAAAGTGAAAAAAAAACACACCATGACTTTACCAAATCCAGCTCCTACTAGATGTCCTGCTTTTTAATTCAACACATAATTACAAAAAGGAGCAGGTTTCCCCAAGTACTCCTCCCATTATCTTGTTACACATCGTTTACTAATTGAAAGCTTAATAATAATAATAATAATAATAATAAACGAATCCTCAATAGACCAGTGCCTTCACTAAATAAAAAAAATGCACATAAAAAAATTAAATGTGTTTTACCACATAAGGACATCAAGCAGAAATTGCTGACAGTAAACTCCTGCAGGAAGTTACTTCAAGGCTGATTAAACTATCTGCACATGACGGTCGTCTTCCGGACAAGTTAATTATGAAAAGAACAGTCCCAGTGGCAAGTGCTGAATTAAACAGGGCTCCTCTTTAAAGAAACATGAACTTTCCGTTGTCTGCGCTGAGGTCCACTGACCTGGATAGCTCTGGAGAGACCGTACAAGCTGGACGAGATCCACGCCTCACGCTTTATCTCTGTCCAGCTGCTGTTCTCTAGGTTCACCCTGTACACACATCTCTCCTCTACAGACTGCGAAGATAAAGGAGAGCGCCATGCTGAGTTTGAACACATAAACGTCCTCCTTCCACAGTGGACGTCACAGTGATGTCGCATTTCTTTATGGCGCCAGACAGAATGATTGCACATTTTTTCTCTGCTACTCTGTTATGCATCTTGCCATGGGTGTGATATAATTATGCCATATAAAAAGTTTACAGTTAATTAAAGCAAGCATCAACACAACTTTGGTACATTTAATTGTTCTACTATGTAATTATACTTTTTGGTAAACCCCATTAAAACATAATACACAATGGAGACAAGAAGATATAGAGTCACCTATACAGTAACCTCCATTTGTAATTATCCTCGTGACTAATAGAGCTAACTCACCATTACGCGAGCATGACTGATGTTCCAGGTGACAGTGGTCATGTGCTGGGACCTGGGCTCCACGATGGAGTCCTCAATAATGTAGGCCGAGCAGGACATGTGAGCAGGCAGATACTGCTCTGCCCAGCGGGGCACGCGGCTTGTCTTGGTCAGCAGACGCCTTGAGATAAGGCGGTTGTCTGGAGTCACCTCCCGGAAAATGATGTCCTCCGTTAGGACATGGTTGCTGAAATAGACACAGAGCGTACGCGTTAGCGGCTACACTCCGAACGGCTCAGTGAAGCGCTTTATGAAGGCGGCGTTTCATTTCACATGCCAGGTTTGTCTGTTAGCAGTAATTACCTGTAAGGATTGGGATATCTCTGCCAGAATGCGATGAAGACTTGGTCCCACGAGCTCTTCAAAACACTAAAGCAAATGAAGTGCTTCACCATTGTTCCCTCTATATACGAGCAGACATTACCTGCTGGAAGAGAGTTAGATAGCGTTGGCCGGGTGTGTTGCAGGGATGTGTTCTCTCGGTGACGGATAACTGGGCCGGACCTGTACTATAACTGATAACTGCACACAAAGAGCCGGAGCAGGAAGCAAAGACACAAGGCCGCAGGGTGCGAGGCTACATTGATACAGCACAGGGTCAGCATTTAATAAATAATGATAAGATTAGCTGCAGATATTACGCAGCCTTTTACGTACATGACATACCCAAGAGCGGCCCGCATTTAAGTCAAACGCTGTATCAGGCCCTAGGACTTGCAGAATAAACATGAATTCGATGTATCGATGCATCCATGAATGATTGACATCCGACTACTTTCAAACTGGACAGACAATACATAACATACTGATAAAACGGAAAAATGTAACAGGTATTTTAAAATCAATCTAAAAATGAAAAAATTACGTTAAAGTGATATGTATTTACAGTTAATGTATTTATAGTTAACTTTCCATATTGTATTTAAGGTATTTACTATAAAGTACGCAAAATCCAGGCAATATAACGTCAACAGTCAAACGTATTCTGCTAAAAAAAGACTCTTCATCATTGGACCAAGCACTGTAGTTTAAAACACCCTATACACTTCTATATTTACGCGTTTGCTTTAATGACCATTATTAAATCCCACTCATTGCAAGATATCAATGACTTTCAAATGAAGGAGAAAATAATCAATGCATTCGTAAACCAAACGTTTCCTTATCAAACAGTCGATTTCGATAATATAACCATAATCCTGGACTTTAGAAATCCGAAACTTTAAATGAACTGACCACCAGAAAACAACTTATTCGTGGAGCTAGTTGGTCATTTGCAGATTGCTTAAGGGGCTAAACATCTAGGAAAATCCCCACAGTACCATTAATATTATATTCGATAAAATCAGGTTGAACAATACAAGCTATGAGCACATGATCTATAACTGACCGTGAAAGGATGAAATCAGCAGTGTGATAAATGGCAGGACCGCGCCAGGTTACATTACCTACAGGAACCGCCAGACAGGTAGAAGTAGCGGTCACATTTTCACCACGCTCCAGTACTTCAACAATATTACATCAACTGCTTTGCTTAGAAAAATAATTCTAAAGTTAAAATTATTTACGAAATGTCATTAACAGCAAACACATTACCTCGTCTGCTATAGAATATAGGTGTTATTCATCCTCCTACTACCTAAGCCACAGAGCTACTGGCAGCGCGCGCCGCTACCCTGCTTCATGAAGAACGTGACTCAGGAAAAGAAAAGGCTTGTGACCGACGTCACTTCCGGGGCATGGGGCTGCACCATAGACATCATGGGGCATTTAAACCATCGCGTAGATCTTGAATTTAATGTAGAGTGGAGCCCTCTGCAGGCTGAGAATAAAGTCTGCTTATGCCCAATAGAGGTCAGTGTCTGACCGCTGAATGCTTACTTCTAGCATGACAGAAACGTGCGTGCCATTGGGAAGCCTTTAGTCCCAAGATAGGTTAGACATTCTGGATAAGCTGGTATTGGTACATTCACACAGCTGAAACACGGTTGTAAACAAACAAACGAATAAAACAAATTTACATCAGCACATTTCTTGGTAAACTGGTAAATTACAGTTTAATCTATTTTATATACGGCAATTCTATTGGTTTATATATCTGAAACTTTGAATTTCAACGACTGTATATTGATATTGCTTATCACACATGCATTAAACATAATCTACCTCGGCTGTAACTAAATAACTAAATAACTATTTCCCTGATATATTTATATCGAATATCTTGCACTACCTTGCATTTAATGATCTGTTCTCTTACACATAGAATGTCTACCTCATCTCACTTTGCAGTGCATGGGGTTAGCTCACAAAGAATGCTTTGACCAGTGAGTGGGTAGAACTGTTTCTGAAATTCTTTTGGTCTTCTTCATAAACAGATCCACAATAACACCAAAATACCCACCTTAAAAGAAATTAAATTGTTTCTACCGTAAGTTAAATGAACTTAGAGGAAAGGAAGTAACTGCATACATTACAAAACAGAAAATCACAAGGCATTAAATTTAATTTGAATACATGACTCTCATGTATCTAGGTAGTATATACATTGTTAGATATTATCTTTTATTAGTCATATACTGAATTTGCACTTTAATATAATAAACATATTATCATGTATGGTATTTTGCTTTTTATGGGTTTGACCTTAACATTAAAAATTCATGGAGTAAAAATCATGTCACAGATGTGTGACTGTGGTAATAATGTTTGCTACATCAGCCATGAACTGAATCTCTAAAACAACGCAATTAATATACAATTTTACTAAATGTTATAACTGGTGACTCGTAGGTTAAAAACTGTAATTCAAATGAAATCCTCTCTAATATTGGTAACACCCAGCAGGCCCTGTTGAACAATACAATCCACTGTGAGGTAGCTGCATTTCTCTGACCTTTTTATATTTGTCAAACTATTATTACAGACATCATTTGGGAAATATGGGAAAATTTGGACTGAACCATCAAAACAACATTTTCATTTTTCTTTTAAATGAAAAAATAAAGCTCAGATTTCACATAAAATGTAGAAAAGTTTAATGACACAAAAGAAAGTATATAAATAATTTAATATAATAAACGAAGAGGTAAAAGAAAACACCCTGAAAATGTACTTTTTTAGCATGAGGAAGAATTTTTTATTTAATTGAAATGCAGTGGATACTGTGTTCAGAAAATTGTTAAAACTGTACATTAAATATAATGATTGATGTTGTTACTTGTCCTTATTTTGGCTCATGTCCCATCTTCTAACCACTTAATCTTTTCAGGGCTACAGCAAAGAAAAGAAAATGCATTAAAATGCAGTAAGCTTTTCCCAATATGTCATGTGTCTGGCATAAAATTAGTGTTATAAAAAAGTCTTACGAATGAGTGTCACTCACACTGTTGCAAATAGTCATGTTGATCTGAATATAGTGAACATGATGTGATGCACTGTAAAGCCATATGGTGAAGTTTTAGATGACATTTAAAAATACTGTATAAACTCATTTGAGTACAGTGGACACATGCATTACAGTTTTCTGTGGATTAAATGCATGTGATCACATTTTTTTCGCAATTCCTGGTAAGCCTGCAATTTTATACATAATGTATCCTTCACTTTTTGCTTGAATCTCTTAGAGTTTATGGATGTCCCAGGACAAAGCAAAAGTTATTATCTATATTCACTTTATATAGATGTATTTTATATGTTCTCAAACAAAATCTGAGTGGACAATAGTATTGCCAAGAATAATCTTTTGCCCTAGAGATACACTCACACCTGGCCGTCTGCCCAGTAGATAAGACATAGAGTTTCAGCACAATGAATAATGCAGCAATTGTGCTTCTGCCGTATTGCATACCGCCCGTAAATATTGGTGAAATACTGCCAGTGCACCACAGATCACATAAAAATTACTTGTCATGGAGCTTTGAAAGGCTCCACCTCTGCTCCTACGTGATGTGATTCATTGAAGAGGATTTATGGCAGTAACATTAACTGTCACATGAATGAGTATGTTACACGTATGAGTATGTTACACGTATGAGTACCCCACCACCTCTAACAACTATAATTCCCTTTTGTTGCTGTTAAGATTTTTTTATTTTTCACAATTTACATCAAGTCCTACAAAAAACTCTAAATTCAATATTGATTTTTTAAGAGAGACATAAAGGACAATTATATATACATACATATGTAACATGGTTCTTTGAAATGTACCATTTACTGTTTTACATTCATTTACATAATAAAGTGTTACAGTACAACAATACATATCTACTACTGGATTGTTTTGTGATTTACAGAGAAAAAAAAAACACACCAGAAATACTATACATAAACCGATGCAATGAAAAGTTACTCTAAACAGAAAATTACCCAAAACATGTACATTCGTAAGAATATTTCAGGGGCTCTTCATATCTCAAATGAACTAAAACAATTAAACACAAATTCATTGCAAGTACAAATTTTAATTCAACACACTTTTTAAAATAAATCTGCTTAATTTACTTTAAAAATGATCACTTATGGAAGATAAAATGTTTTTTTTATTGATCCCCAGTGGAAAAAAATGATACATTTGCAAGAATAATTATAATTACGCATTCTTGACTTTTTTGCAGTAATGTCCATGACTCATCCATACTCCGGTTACTTACCCGGCCTGGGGTCTGAATCCTATGCCAAGCAGCATAGGGCACAATGCTGGGCTACGTGCCAGACGGGATGCCAACCCAGGGCTAATGCAGTCACACACAATAAGCAAATCAGAGACAGTACTGCATGTAACGATGGAGAAATGCCGGCGTGAAACAGAAAGAACAAGCAAGCAGCTTCCAGAAACACCCAAAGAAGGGATCTGAACCCACAACCCTGGAGAAAGAGGCAACAGTGAAAGTCACTGAGCCACCACACCACCCAGAACGCCCCCCAAAAATACATCCATTTAATGCAAAATGTCTTTCACGTCTAATGCGCTCATTAGACATTTTTTCCACAGGATATAGCAACTATTAAAAAAATTTGGTCAATCATCAAATCCTCATTTTAACCATAGACAGCAGCCCTTCAGGGAAGAAGAGATTTAGATGCTGCAGCTGTATGCAAGGGATGACAATTTAAAAAAATGTTATTCTTCTAATCCTTATGTAAAAATACCGTTTCTTATTTCTGATGTGTTATCTAACCTGTTTTCTAACAAAAAAAAAATAGCATTCCATTAATGATTAAAAGTAGAGGTATTTAGAGCATCTGAGGAAGAAGAAGGCACAGAATTGAAGATCGCATTTTTTTCAACATACTGCAAATTCAAAAATACATCTTATGTAAATTATTAAATGCAATATATTAATATATTTTAATGGCATGTCTAATTTGGAAACAAAAAATGGAGAAAAAAAGGCAAACAGGTTCCTAGTTTATTTGTGCCTCGTTCTAGGAGTTAAAGCTATACAGTTATGTTGCCATGAGTTAGTAGTACCCATAGAAATCAAAAATGAAAATCTTAAGTACATTGTTAGTTGCTGTACAGGATTGGATGTAGCATCTGAAGTCACATAATGATGGCAACTTACAAACATCATCAACGATGGGTACACATATTTAGTTTTATGCACCCAGGTAAGCTGTTGGCATTTACATCACACGGCAGCTGGGGGGTGCTCACCAGTCTGTCTGCACTGGGCCAAAGCCCGTTGAGACCGTGTCTTGAAGGAGCCCTCGGGGCGAATGGTCTCGGGTTTGTGCTCACAGCGGAAAAACATCAGGAAGCCATTTCTGTAGTTCTTGTTCATCCAGCCGTATAGGAGGGGGTTGGTGAAGGTGGAGCACATGGCAATTATGTGGAAAAGGGTATAGAGGAGCTTGTATTCTTTAAACTTGAGGACCAGGTCCAGATCACTGGCCAGCTGGAAGATGTGGAAGGGCAGCCAGCAGACGGCAAAGACCACCACGACCAGGGCAAGCATCTTGGTGGTGTTTTTACGTCGCTGGAGGGTGTCACTCCGGTTACAGGGGCTCACGTGGTTCTTGAGCTTGAGCCAAATGCGCGTGTAGGCGTAGCTTATGATGCCCAGAGGTAGCACGTACTGCAGGAGTAGCATGGAGAAGCTGTAGATGATGCCATCCCGGTTGGTGCCATTGGGCCATTTCTCAGAGCAGACGGCAATGCGCAAATCGATGGGGGCGATCTCCACGTAGCGGTACTCCCGGAAAATAGCCAGCGGGGCTGCCAGAACGGCCGCCACCACCCAGGTCAGGGTGATGATGCCGAAGCTGGCAGGTCGGGAGAGCCGCTGGTCCAGGTGGAAGACGATGCAGCGATGACGTTCCAGGGCGATGATGGTGAGCGTGAGGATGGAGACGTGGACGCTGAGGGCCTGAGAGTAAGGTACCAGGTGACAGAGAATGGCGCCAAACTTCCATTCGTCTAGTAAAGTGTAGACCAGGGTGAAGGGCAGGCAGAGACTGTCCACCATTAGGTCAGCCAGGGCCAGGTTGGCAATGAAGAAGTTGGTGACTGTGCGCATGTTCCTGTAACGGATGATCATGTAGATAACCAAGGAGTTTCCAAGAAGCCCCAGCAGGATGATGAGGGAGTACGCCGCAATGAGGGCGATCTGGACGCTGAAGTTCTTGGTGATGTCCGTCGTGAAGCCTGGTCTATGGATGTCCATGTCGTCATTACCCAGACTCTCCTGGTCCCTGTAGGTGTAGTCCCTTCTGGCAGGCATCGCCCCCTCTGTGTTGTTAGATGGGTCTAAACGGCCCATTGTTACCATGGCAAAATGTGACCAGGATTAGCCCAAGTTTCTGAATCAGGTGGAAAAAAAAAATCAACAGATGAAATTTGTTCTACATATACTTATACCCAATACACAAATTATACTTCCAAGCTTTACTTAAATGGGAAGATTATTGCATTTGATTGTTTTTAACTTTTTTAATAAAATAGGTTTATTTAGGTTTAATAACTGCACTGCTATTTTACTTAAATGATGTGCATGTATCAAACAACAAGTGCTGGTTTAGTTAAAAACTCCCATCTTCTTCAAAGGCTTTTCTTATCTTCTATTTGATATTATTATTATTGATCTAGTTTGCATTTAAGCAGAACAACAACTATTACAAATGTGCCTGTGGTACTATTAGTACAGAATTCACAAAATGAAGTAATTAAGGCTAGGAGCTGAAGGACGCTTCACTGAATATGTGAGCTACATCTGAAGAGTCATGTTTTTTCTCAGCATTTTTATAAACAAAGGACTTCATTAGAAAACATAAAGCTGACCGAAAGGCACACAAAACATAAAAGAAACACTCAACAGAGCTGAAGTAAAACTTTACACTGAAAACCACTGAGATCTCCAAGCAATTTTCTTTGAACTCTCACACATGACCATTCCTATCAGAGTCAGACACGGCCAGCCCTGGGTTTTTTCACATTTCAGTAGCACAGGAAATCTGGCTACCCAGCTAGCGCTCATCTGTTTCACAAGAAAAGTAGTGAAATGTTAAAACTAGTGTAAATAATTGTAATGTCGCGGAATGTAACCAGAGGTATTTCGTCTGATTTTTTTCACTCTGTCTTTTGCGCCCCAAAATCAAATGGTGCCCAAGGCGATCGCCTATAGGGCGGGCCGGCCCTGTAGTCAGATGACATGTGGGCGGAGTAGTAGCTACAAAGGCAAACATGATTTCTGTCATGTGTAGCTTACATTTCAGAGCGTGTATGCATTTTGACTTGAGTAAAACCATTAATAATAACAATAATTGATACTATCATTGAACCTCATGAGAAAAATCTCTTTATACCACCTTCAACCAGCTCTCTGCAGGTGAGAGCAAGTTGGCCATGAAGGGCAGCCACCCGGGAGTTGGGGGTTAAGGGTCTCGCTCAAGGACCCACAGACATGGAAAGGCCAGGCTTGAACCAGCCCACTGAGCCACTGTCGGGGTCTAAACCTGCCTGTCCCTGCCTATCATGTCTCCTCCCCTTTTGGCCAGCAGATGTCGCTGGCTATCCTGTCCTCCCCGTTGATCAAGTCCTTAGTGTGTTTCTTCAGCACCCCAGACTGCTACATGTCTCTATAGGCTAAGCGTGTACCTGTAAACCCCTCAGTTGTGTGTTTGAGTTCACCCACATCTGTTTTTTGTGTTTTGTAGATTTTGTTCCCTAGTGTTTCATTTGTATCAGTTTTCTAGTTCCTGTGTTTGGTGGCTTACATTTTGTTTTGATTTTTTGCTTTGTGCTCTTGGTTGTGTTTTACCGGTCTTTGTTATTTACCTAGTGCTTGGATTCTGTTCCCTAGTTTCTGAGATCCTTGATTTAATTATTAGTTTCACCTATTGCCCATTTTGCCAGTCCTTGTTGATTGTTCTGTTCTGTTCCTGTGTTGATTGGTTAATTGTTTCATGCCTCACTCCTCCTGCATCGTTACTTGGTTCGGTTTGTGTATTTATGTTCCTGCCTTAATTCAGTTCCTGAGTTGGTCATTCTGTTACGGAGGTGAAGCATGGGGCAGGCAGAAAAAGAAGGTGACTGAAGGATGGGGACAGGAGGGTGACGAGGAGGCCACAGGCCAGGGACCTGAACCCAACTCTCTTTCAATCGGCCAGGGGCAACAGAGGCCATCGCCCTCCAGTCCCCATCCTTCAGTCTCCAGTCCCCTTCTTTTTCTGCCTGCCCCATGCTTCACCTCCGTAACAGCCACATGCTATTGGCTTTTTCCCACTGATAAAGACAACAGAATGTTCAGCTGATGACATGCACCTCTGTCGTTCTAAAGCAGAATTAGCTTGATAATTTCCTCCATCAAAAACCCTGATAATGTTAATGAGCAAGCTTTTCAGTTAATAAGATGACCCCTTGATACTAACAGTACAGGTTGAAGGTTCACAGCAGGTTACAAGCTAAGCAAAGGTACCTGAAAATTTAAAGGGAGCTGAACTGGTGACCTGAAATCATATTACAGTGATAAGCATCACAACTGCTTCAGTATATGAACATGGGGAACATGGGGAATATCTACACTACAAGGCAAAGAGTATGAGTACATCAGGGTTGAGGCCATTCCAGAATGCATTCATCAGTTCCAATCCAGATCAGGAAATGGAACTGGAGTTGGGATTGTGAGAAAAAAAACTATTTGGAACAGAATTGTAGGAATTCAGAGAGACTCCAGTTCCCTTGCTGATTTGGATTGGAATTCATGAATGCATTCCGGAATGGCCCCAACCCTGATAGATATCTCAATTAATCAGAGGAATTTGCTGTTTAATCCACACCCACTGCTGACACAGATGTATAATTAAGCAGAGTGCTACGTAATCTCCTGCAAAAAAACATTACCAGCAGAATGGTGGTTGGTGTACAGGAGAGGCTAGTGACTCTCCACTTGGCACCATCACAGGACGCCATCTTTCTAACAAGTCAGTTCTCCACATTTCTGCCCTGCTGAGACGTCCTGGTCAAACATAACTGAAATGATACTTTAGATCTAAACATCTGGGAACTAGTTCAGTCATGAAGTGGTCGGCCACACAAGCTCAGAGAAAGGGACCTGATTACCTAACATCAATACCCAACCTGAAAGGCAGTAAATCCCACCAGCAATGTTTCAACATCCTGATGGAAAGCTTTGCCAGAGAAGTAGAAGCTATTAAAGCAACAATGAACTGACTAACTTCATATTAATACCCTTTGGTTTTGTACCGAGATGTTGGGCGAGCTGATGTCCACATACTTTTGGCTATATAGTGCATAAATGAAATAAGCCTGTTTATGATTATGCAGCATTACATATTTCTCAGATGATCTAAACCCGGCCTCCACTCCTCTTACATTGATTCCATGAACAGCAAAGCTGCAATTTTTAATCCTATCAGGCACAGAACAGCGCCCCAGGTATTAACAGAAATTGGCAAAACCAGCTGTTTGGTCTAAAGCCTCTTTCAGGACCAGTGCTCCCTCCTACCGCAAACGCCTGACATATGACTGGCAGCAGGATTAAGTTACACCAATTTTGCATCCCATTGTGAACATGGCCGGCATCCTCTCCGCCTGAGGTGCCTGTCCAGCCAGCGGACTCCTGGCTGCATTGGCTGAGGCGTGTCCCTCTGCTAGCTACAAATATGTCTTGTATATGTGCCTGTGTCTCAATAATGAACATTTAGCATGTCACCCATTACGATGCCTTTGTCGAACTGCCAACATTCTGACATGAAAGGAAAACTTTGCTGATGATTTCTTAGCCTCATGGCAATGCATTTGTCAGGTGCAAAATAATGAGGTTTCTGAGTTTTTTTCCCCCCAGAAGCAGAGTTCTGAAGCACATCCTATTGACACAATTCCTTACAAATAAGATATGCTCTTTCAAATCAGAGAAAATATAGGTTTCTTTTTATGGAAATACAATATGAGGGCAGATCAGAGGACAGACAGCAATCTGCACATTGCTTTTCCCCAATCCCTCTGAAATAATGACTTTGTTCAGTGTTTTGTGCATTTCTCAGAGAGCCAGTGAAATGGATTTTATAGCCATATTGACATTTGCATGAAAGCAACTGTTATTTACTCTCTTTGTTTTTCATGACAAGAACAGGCTGTTCATAAAAACTCAGGCTCTGCATCTTTCCTTTCACCTCAGGTTGTTTCATTTTGCTAATTGTTCTTAATTATTTCCCATCTCATTTCCCAAATCTGGAAATAAGCGACTCTGCTGTCATTTTTATCAAGGCTTGTAGCAGCCAGCAGGTTGTGTGTGTGTGTGTGTGTGTGTGTGTGTGTGTGTGTGTGTGTGAGCCTGTAGAATGTTTCAGCTCATCCAGCTCAAATCAGACCTGACTTCAGTCGTAATTACCTAGCGCAAACATACACATACAATGACATTTTGAACAACACAGTCATACAAGGTACAAAGTTCAGTCAACGGCTCTGACACACTTTTCTATTATTATTTCGTCATGTAAAAAGCCCTCAATGTACTCACTAGTCAAATTTATTTATAGTATGCGCCTTGAACGAATCACTCACTATAGCGATAACCGACTTTAAAAAGGCTTACAAGAAATGTCAAATTGTCGCTTGTATTTTCATTTAAAGGGGGTCATAGACACTGGTGAATACTTTGAAACAGGTCTTTGTATGATATAAACAACTGCCCCCCCCCCCCATTTCGGCTATTATACCGTCACGCATAATAGTACAGAATGGAACAATGCATTCCTGATACAAGGTGTATAGAGAAACACAGTATGAACAATAAAGGCCTGAAGATATCCAGTTTATACCCAGCAATGAGGGATAACAGGGGCTGTCGTAACAATGGTTAGAGTCGAGGAAGATTAAGCCGAGGTATCAAAGCCAAGCAGGACTGCGTGAAGGTAAACAATGGAGGGAACAGCAGTTCAGCCTTTCCTCTGATCTCTGCATAATTACATGCCGAAGACAAGAGACAGACAGCAACTGCAAGACCAAGTCCTTCACTTATGTTGCATTTTGTTTAAAAAGCAGGAAAGTGGGACTGACCTGAGAACTTAACCCTAGAATTCTAGAATTAAATACTGTAAATCCCTTTCCCTGACATTGCACTTCTCTGTGAGAAGTGTATCAATTCATAAAAGAACATGTTATCAAATTTTTCAGCCAGATAAAATGTTCTGCTTGAACTGTTCACGGTTATTACATAGAAGATGGAAATTACTTGAGTAAATGCAGTCACCTCCTTCGGAGATTCATCAGAGAACTAGGGATTAAAATGTTGTAACTGATCCCAAGACCACTTGACTGACAGGAAATCTAGATTGTGCTCCATTTAATCCGAGCTTGTAAATTCAGTCGGCTAGTAGATAAAAATTCAAACACCCCCTGGTTAAATGTAGAGTGAAGGCAGACCAGATCTGATGAAGAAATTTGAAATGCTCCTCATTTTTGTCATTAATAACACCTGCCCTGATTATCTCTTTTGTAAATGCCAGTGTTTAACATAATTACACCTGAATCACATACACTCAGCCTCTCCTCTATTCTTGTATCGTTCTCAGAGACATTTCTTCAAACTGCTGCATGACTGCAACTAATTTTTAGATATTAAAAAAGGAGGAGAGAGTTTCTCAAAGTTGCAAAAAAGCAATATGGAAAAATAGCCCCAGAAAGCCACAATACTTCAAATCCCACACTTCACAGCATGGTGCATTTTTGCAAGAATGCCTTTTTGCGGAACCAGTTTGGTGGCTTATGGCAGTATTCACATCTGGTGGCATGCACACGTCAATATAGAATGATAAATGAAAATAATGGTTGTGCTGTCTTCCATAACATTTAATCAGGTGATTGTACATTCACAGCTCACTCCTAACTCACAGTCATTTTTACAAGATTTGCATTCCAGCAGTGAAATATAAGTGAGAAATTTGGAAGTAACATATGACTGCTCCTTGGAATCTGTAATAATGGGTTCAATCTATGTTAGATAACTAGGAATACTCCCTTTACGGGCCTGACGATGGTGCTAATGTTTGCCTCTTCAAACTAAGAGTTATTTCAATATGCGATTATGCCATTTGCACTTTTTTATGTAAAGTTAAGTTGTTAACTTAAAATGTTCCTTAAGCACTCAATTATGGTACAAACATAATGAAAATGCTTTTATTATTCATGAATGTCCCTATGTGATAAGCCTACAAGAACACTTAAATCTTTTCATTCCTGAAGTCTAAAAGCAGACGTTTGACAATTACAATCACATTTCAGGCGCGATGCATCAACACGTTTCGCTAAATTCCTGCAGAATTAGCACAAGTCTGTACTCTGTTTACCCTGTGGTCTAATAAAAGTTAATTCAAATTCAAATTTTTTTTTATTTAATTTGCATTACTGATAAGTTTTGTGTCCCTCTGAAATGGACAAGGTGACAAGCAGAGTTGACGTCACACCTTTCTGCACACACATAGTGAATGTAGGCCGTTTGTGGGTCCCCTCACTTGATCAAAGCGGACCCACTTTGTGTGACATTTTTCTTGGAGGCGTTGGGTGTCTGGGGAAGAGACTGTGAGGGAGGGTAAATGGGAGAGACAATAACAGAGAGAGAGAGCCTCAGGACAGAATGACACTATCAAACACTATTCCACTCAAGTGGGATGCTACAGGGACATGCGACACAATTCACAATGAAAACTGCCAGAGCACAGTGACAAAAATTACAATGAATGCAGGAGTAGGTGGAGTCTGAATAAGCCCAGACTGGCTGCTGATTGCCACAGGCCAACCCCCCCATCAGATGGAGGCTGAGAAGTAACATCACATTCCTTTGCATTACATTCATTTGATATTTGCAACAGATATTCAAGAGGAAACGCTGCTGAAAGTAAAGAAATTTGCCCAATATCCCTGAAGACAGAAACTCTCTATGGTAAGCAAAGGAGCAAAACAATCAGACAGGTTTGTAATATCATAACTGAGGGAACTCTTCAAACATAACATGGCTATGTTCATCTCATTTACCCACAGGGCTTTGCAAAAGTGGCTGGACTTTTCGCAAATTACAAACTGGTTGTAACTTTCATATCGGTTACAGCTGCAGGTTTTTTAGATTAGCTTTCTGGCAGTTTTACACACAATGCATTTTTTTCCCAGGTCCACGTAGACAACAGCGGTACGATTTTTCCAAAGACCCAAGACGTTCCCTCTCTTGTCCTTATGTGGTTCCATTGTGATGTTGGCTTCGTTGCTTTATTGTTCCTTTGAGAGGTAATTTTTCGCCCCAGTCTTTGGCCGAATTAAATAAGTTTTCCCGCTTTATGTGTCTGCCTTTTGTGACATTCTCAGCCGGATTCAATTCAGGAGTTTGACCGGTCGACGCACGGAGGGTTTCTTTTACTCACAAAGCCAAAGCCACACTGGACTGGCTTCACAACAAGAACATGAAGGGCGAGTTCTTGAGGTCAGGCCAAAATGCAGCAGTGCTGACTGGAGCCCCACGGAGAATCGGTAAGAGAGCTTGAAAGCCACAATCCATAAACGACCCCCAAGGACCAAGAGAATGATGTGTAAATATGCTGGATGAGTAGTGATCCAACGTGGGTAGACAGTTACAGAGAAAGCCACAGCTGTAACTGCTACCAAACACAGCTGCCATTGTCTGGATACTCCTATGGTCAAATTTTAAGGGCAATAGAGAAAATGTCTCTCGACTTACATTTAAGCACACATTAACCTTTGCTTAATGGTTTTCTTTAAGTATTTACAAAATGCACGTCATGTTTTTTCTCATTTAAAAGAGCAGTGAAACATAACAAAAAAAATAGTGTTGTTCCCTAAGGGGTTTTTATTGTGTTGGTCTCCATAGCTCACACTTCAGGGATTATATTTTAAAATGCCGAAGGTGTGTCTCTAATCTCCTGTATATTATGACTTCTCATATATTCCAAATGCCTATAAGGAAATTGAATAATGCAAGAACGGGCAGTATAGATTTGACATTTTTAAATGAGCTGAAGAAAGACAATCCTTCTCTGTGCGTTTTTGCAGAGTCGTTTTAAGAGCTTTATTCCGTTGTTATTTTATCGTGTTGTTATTATTAGCAAGATAATCCAATATAAGTAGAATTAGTAAAATATTCACGATCATAAGATTACAAGTTATTATTGATGTTATCGTGTAATCAAGGTAAGATTGCAAGTCGGTGATATACAACCGACGTATGCTGATATTTTTTTTATCAAATAAATCGAAAATAGAGTACAAATTTAAACAGTGATCGCGAAGCATACTATTAAACACTTTCGATTAGGCCTATACATAATATCACAATCACAGCCATAAATGCTTTTGGAAAGTTCCGCTTTGCTATTTTCAGCGCAACGAATGAATAGTACCAAGGACAGCTACTGGTGCATCGCCCGCATAATGAGCTTCATTTAAACACTATGTAAAAATCTTATTAATATAAAGTTTGACAATTATGATTAGCCTATATTGCGAAACACTACAGTTTAAACTGAAAACTGGTATCGCTTCAAATTCATAATTAATTACTTTATTCAGATGAGATTATACCTGTAATGGGCAATCTGAGTACGCGAAACGGAATCCTGTTGCTTCTTTGACTTAATAATAATGCGATAGTTTTAGAGAGCACTGGGGTTATTTAAAACTTACCGAAACGCTTTTGTTAAGTATTCATCCAGGCAAACCATGATCTCTGGCCCATATCATAATCTCATAATGCCGACTCCTTTGTGCAAAGCTGCACTCACACAGCCAGGGCATATATAGTGCCACCGTACTCAATACTAAGATGAAAGATCAATGAGTTAAGTAACATGCCACGGGGTGGCTGCAATGAAAACCCGACGTCAATCGTATTCAGTGTTTGTTTTCAAGTTTTAATCATCGCACTCACCTTTTTCGTCCTGGCCGAGATTTCTTCGTAAATGAAAATCTAAGTAAATAATTCAGCAGCCCGCATCTTCAATTAGATGTAGCGCCGCACTTCCTAATGAACGAGTGGTGCAGCGGCGACGGAACCCACTAGGCAAATGCTACAACCCGTTATATTTAACGGACGATATCAGATAGATGCATTGCGACTTCCAGCGCTTCGATTTGGAAAAAATCCTTTGGGATAAAACGCACAACTGGCTTTTTGTTGTTGCCTGCATACTGTCCGCTCAAACCACGCTATCAGACAGCGTGTATCGTATATAAATATACGACCTATCACCTTTAAATGCACAACTCAGCATCGTCCCCGCCCACTCTAAATATCAGCAATAAAAAAACTTTTTCTTTGCCAGTCAATGCTAATTGAAAATAAGTCTTATTATGATTCATGACTATAATAAACTACGCCGATATTATTATTATTATTAATAATAATAATAATAATAATATAAAAACAAAAAAATCAAAGAAAGAAATCTAATTGTATTGCAATCTAATTATATTAATAATGAAAATACATTTGCCAAAAAAAAAAAAAAATGTCATATGTTAATTCACCAAAATATGTGAACTTTACTGTGACACGCAAGCTCACATCCATGCCAGTGGGTCTGTCACACTTGCCCCTGGTTCCCCGGAGCCTAATCTGGGCTGAGAGCTCAGTTAGAGCCCACGACTCCAAGTGGCCAGCATTCCATAGCTGGTGTTCTGTCTTTCAGGGGTTTTAGGTGCCTCCCGGATTTTATTTGCATTTTCCCTTTTAGATTCCCCTGTTCCTGTTTACCAGTCCTCTGCATTGGATTCTGCCTTCTGCTTCACTTCAACTGGAGGCTGTCCATCCAGTCAGCAGCCCAAGTCCCCCTCGTTCCCTGTTTCCAGCAGTTTTAGGACTGGTCTCATGGGCCAGAAGACCTGGCACGATGGATGGGTGGCCCAGATTGAGGTTCTGTCAGACTTGGTTGTATGTAGGGTAATATTTATAACCAGAATGCTCTGGGTTCGAGCCATGATGGGGTCACAGTGATCACCCACATTACACCTGAGCTACTCTACATCTTGGGTGGTTCTTCACCTGTTGGGCTGTTCACTGCTCCATTGTGCAGCAGGTTTCCTTCGATTGTTAAGGACGTTTCATTGGAATTATGTATTCCTTCCCAGAACATGCCTGGACATAATCATCCATTCATCATTTGCTGCACCAGCATCGTTCTATGCCAATCAGAATCCCACAAAAAGCTATGATTCATCACTAAAGATTCTAAATGCTAAGTCTAACCATGATCGTTCACTTCACCCCATTACGTTCCCTACGAAAGCAATGGATATCCCTTCTTTGATGTCTTACAATCTGGGAGGGTTAGCGCTGCATCAGAGCTCATGCATGAACTCTCCTCCGGAGCGATAACTCCTCCAGGCGTCCGTGTCAGATCACTCGGGCATTTAATGAAAGGAAAGAAGAGCTCTGCGGCACACATGTCCAATAGGAGTGACAGGGCGTATCAGTCACTCATCCCTGCAAAGCGTTTTCGGCGCATAACACAGATAAAACAAACCCTCAGCATTACCAAGAGAAAGCGCATTTCGTGGCGTCATTTAGACTCATTCCACAGCCTCTGCTCTGCTCCTCTGCATCTCTCTGCCACAGTGTGGTCACACTAAAAAAACACTAGAACCATCAACATGGAGACTGCATTCATCCACAGTCATGTCATCAATACCAAAAATATTTAATTGTTGTACAAAATGTACAGTTTTTGGTTCAGTAGGCATTTATAGCAAGATTCAAGCAATGTTTTGATATTCAGAGAATATCCTGATGTACTTATAAAATCATGTGCAGTACTAGACTGATGATATACACTGATAGGAAAGCATCACAGTTATAATATCAGCAAAGTACCAGTTTGTACTTGGAGTCCAAAATCTACTCACCTCTGCAATGGTTAAGCACAGGTTCAGCTTAAGTATGATCTATCCACAGCTTTTCTCTTTCACATCAGATGAAGGGAGAGCTGTTTAAGTGAGCAAAGCAAGCAAGGTGTAATGATCGAGGAGGGAAATCCACATGCAGATAAAAGACTCCAGATCCAGAACAATGGATGTAAAGGATGACCTGAAATGTAATCTGTATACCAAGATCCAAACCTTAATCTGAAAGCAATGTCTGAAGTGAGACAAAAATTTTAAAAACTATCAGTCAGCAGTCATTAATGGAAAGACTCAATTTAGTTCAGCAAGGAGCAAACCTAATACCTACATTATCGCTACATTTACATTTTACTTATTTAGCAGCTGGTTTTTTAAAAGTGGCATATAATTGAAGCAAATAGCGCATATTAAGCATGGATGCTGTAAAGGAGTCGACTGGGCATAAGTGCAGCTAGGCTGAGCTTTCTGTATGAATGCAAAGGTCAAAGTGCAAGATGTATTGGAGCAAGAGCTACACAACAACGCCTAACAAAGCAGGAATCTATTCAAGGACCAGAAGTACAAGATGAGAACATTCAGGGAACGTCAAGAGGCTTCAGGTTAGTAGAGCAATTCATGGAACAGATGGGTCTTACAGGTGGAGAGGGAGTCTGATGTCATCAGATATGGTTCAACAGCTCATGTCCACCATCAGGGAACCACACCAGAGAACCATCTGGATCGATCCTTCTCATGTGGTGGTGGGAGATTCAAGTGGAGTCGGTTTGCTAACCGAACGGGGCGAGATGAGACTTTTGATTGAGATGTTTCTGTTCACTGATGGACTTGTAAGCCACCACCAAGGACCTGAACTTGATGCGAGCGCCAATAGGGAACCACATGAGAACGTGAGAACATGAGAATGTGAGAACACTCGGGCTGAATGAATATCAGACATGCTGCCATCTTTTGAATCATCTGCAGTGGTCTGATAGCACAAGCTGGTCGACCTGTTAGTACAAAGCTGCAGTAGTCTAGTGGTGAGGTAGCAAGTGCCTAGACTAGAAGCTGGGCTGCATATTCAGACAGAAATGGCCTGATCTTCCTGACAAATGTTCTAGTTTGGTCAGCTCCCTAATATCTGCCTTAGATTTTCTTTAGGTGTCGTCGGGGTCTGGTTGACCATGGTTGTTGGTAGTGCTGATGAGAAGGAAGTGTGACACAAACTAGCAGCAAGATCTTTAGTCTTTGCTGCTAAATTTGCTGCCAAAGTGGAAGAGAGGCCTCCGTTCACCATTTGATTGGTCAATTTCAATCAGAGGATTTCCCTAATAAAACCCTAAAGAAAATAATGTATATGACGATCGGATTGTGTTGCATTATCAATATGCAGGTATGTGATGTGTTACAAATATATATAATTTTGTGCAACAGTTGCAGGAAAAGCCTGTATGAGCAGCAGCAACCTTCTGAGCCAAGCAAGTGCAGTGAAAACACGTTTTGCACAGATCGGATCAAAGGGGACACTGCGGATTCTACAGTATGGTGTAGGTGAGTATGTTCCCTCTGTAATACTATCATTCATTCGGCACATGTGCTATTTTATAGATGAAGTGGTTAAAATGGATTCCAGTAGCATATGATTATGGTGGGTCACTAAAAGCTGAGCTGTGGGGAGAGACACGGGCAAAAAGAATTGCGAACGCATTTTGTGTTCCGCCATGTGTCATTATGTGATGAGAAACATGAGAAATGCAGACTGTAGCCTTTATATCTGTCTTTTTGGCACTCTCTGTTGAGCTGGCTTCTGATCGTGTATTTATTTTGAACAGAAATAGATGAAGATATCTGAGAAATAGACAGTCACCCTAGCAAACATCTGAACCGAACAACATGTGGTTGGCCAAGTAGGTTGTTATCTGTGTTGGTGTAAGACCCACTATCAGCCAACCAGCTGCACAATGTGTCATATTAATGCTATCTTCACCAAATCAATATACGTTGTGTTTATTTCAATGAATAAAACTGTACTCCGAATTTATCCTGAGCTGTCAATAAATATCATTTGGATCATGTCTGCGTAAATATTGGAATAAACATCCACTGTATCACTGAATCTGTTTAATGGGTATGACTATGTGAGATCATATGACACGTAGATGTTTGATATTTACAAGGTGTTAGAATTACAGTGATTATTAAGTCGATTATACAAGTTTTTCACAGTATTTTGTACTGCTTGTTCTTGATGGTATTTTTAACAGCATTGATATGTATTCAAGTTTCCACAGAGTTGTTCTGTTCTCCTGGATTTCAAAGAGCACATATATGAACATGAACATGATCCTGCAGTTAATATAAAAGCTGCCAATAAACTTGTCATGGTTTCCATAGGGATGATAATGGCATTATGACCTTCCTCCATATCACCTCTGACGGAGAGGCAGTGAAAACAAGCACAAATATCATTTAATGTATATATCACTCTACATCATCCATCTTCCAATAGGTTATCTGGTGTGTGTGTGTGTCTATACACCAGATAAGCTATTGGAAGATGGATGATGTAGAGTTAAACTGTATGTACATTAAATATATGTGTGTGTGTGTGTGTGTGAGCGGGTTTACCTATCCTTATGGGGACATAATGTCCTCATAATGTGATAAATATCTGTTTTTCTTCCCTTATGGGGACCAGGAAACCAGAAAACTCTATTTTATAAAAATCGGTGACTGCTATGAAAAA